GGCCGCTCCTGGCTCCGAGGGCCTGAGTCCGCACTCCCGATCCCGCAAGGGCACCTTGGCCGGCCGCAGCGCTCCCCGCGCCCAAGTGGCGAACCCGGCCCAGAGCTCGGCTTTCCCGGCGTTCGGGTGCGGTCAGTGCCGCGGCGGGACTCCAGGCTCCTCCCCGTGCTCTTCTCTCCTCCCACCCCACCCCACCCCAACCCACCCGAGCGGCGAACGCGCTCGGGGCCGCGCTTTTCCCAGACTTGACGGCTGAGGGCCGGGGAGGGAGCCGCAGAGGCGCGGAGGAGGGAGGAGTCTAAAAATAGCGCAGAGCCCTCGGCGGGGTAGCGCGGTTGCCGGTGTGCTAAAATAGAGGTTGCATAAGCCCTGCGGTCTGGGGCGACAGTAAGAGCTGCGCGATTAATGAGCAATCCGGGTGGTTCTGAGGCTGCTGGCCGAGGTGGAAACACACTCCTGAGGACGTCGGCCCTGAAGTGCGTTACTCCCACTGGGCTGGTGTCGGGAGACTTGGCTTCCACGCTGGCCCCAAGTTCAACCTGTGAGCTTTCCATTAGTTTCCCATCCAGGGAGGAGTATGAGCTAGTGTGTTTAAGTAAAGACGTATATGAAGGGAACACTTTTTTATTAAGTAGCTAACCCAGGATTTGAACCAAGTTCTCTGTGACTTCCAAAGGCATACTTCCTCACGATTCCATGTTGCCACTAAGGGGAGGATTTCCTTCTTGTTAATGGTCTCTCTGTTATTTTAAGTATGAAGGAGGCAATGTGGTCTCAAGACATAACAGGCCCATCTACATGATTTCATAAGTCTTTAGACAGCACTACGTGGTTCATCCATATTCGAGCAGTGCATGGAAGGTCCAAATGAAAGCACCACTGGCTACTCTGAACTCCAGGTTTGTGGATCTGAGTGTAAAGGCTAGCTATCTCACCTGTCCACCAAAGTCCAGAAATGACAATCAGAGTAAGTTGCACTCACACTTCCCTGTTGGCTGTTAGACACAGGATCTGTGAGCCTGGACAGACTTCTGGCCAGAGGTTGGAAGGAAGCTGGCCTTCAATTCCCAGAGCACATATTATGGGTTGCTGTGTTGATGTTGACATACTTCATGTATGCCATGACAGTGCATCTTCTCATAGATGTGGTTGGGTCCCCTGTCGAGAGCATCCACATGGGCTGTATGACTTGTTTCTGCAAACTTGCTGGGGACAGCCTCGACCTGTCACCAAGGAGTCTCCATCCTTCTTTGCATTAGATGTGTGATGGCTGCTGCTTAACTTCCTGCATCCCTGGCCCAGAGATCTCTGTGTTCCAGAGTGATAAAGTATATATTACCTGAAGAGCTTTTATTTCTTTTTAGAAAATAAGAAAAATGGTAAGCAATGAAGGATTTCTTTTCTTTTTTTTGAGTTAGAGTCTCACTCTGTCACCCAGACTGGAGTGCAGTGGCCGCTCCCGGCCACCGCAGCCTCGACCTGCTGGGCTCCAGCGAGCCTTCCGCCTCAGCCTTCCATGTAGCTGGAACTACAGGCATGCACTACCACTCCTGGCTAATTTTTTGATTTATTGTAGAGATGAGGTCTCGCTGCCTAGGCGGGTCTCGAACCCACGGGCTCAGGCAATCCACTCACCTCAGCCTCCTAAAGGCGCGGGATTACCGGCTGAGCCACCAAGCCCAGCTATGAAGGATTTCTATTTCTTCTCTGGGGAAAGTAGTTATCTATGTTCACTGGCTAGGAGTTTCCAATTTTTGTTGAGAACAGAATGTATGTATTACTAATTTGATTCTTGTTAGGGTACAGAGAGCGTGAGGGTGGATGGGTGGATGGATGGGGAGGGGTGCAGCACTGCCAGAGGCAGTGTGCCAGAGGCGTATGCTGGTAACCAGGGATCTGAGTAATGCAAAGATTTGCAACACACAGAGAGGTGGAAGGAGAAAAGATTTATTTAAGAAAAGTTCAGCGCTTTGGGAGGCTGATGTGAGTGGATTGCCTGAGCCCACGGGTTCGAGACCCGCCCGAGCAACTTGGCAAGACCTCATCTCTACAATAAATCAAAAAATTAGCCGGATATGGTAGCGCATGCCTGTAGTTCCAACTACTTGGAAGGCTGAGGCAGAAGGATCGCCGGAGTCCAGCAGGTCGAGGCTGCGGTGGCTGGGAGCGTGCCACTGCACTCCAGTCTGGGCGATAAAGTGAGACTCCAACTCAAAAAAAAAAAAAAAGGAAAGGTTCACTTCCCACAGACAGGAAGCGGCCCTACACTTGGAATGAGTGTGACACCGTAGACCCCTGAGCCCTGGCTTAAATCCTTTCCCCTAGAGATGTTGCAATCAGGTAGACGTGACTGCCACGACTTCCTTGTTGACCACTTGTGGATGTCTTGGAGACCCTGAGCGGGGACCTAGTTACCATGCACTGAGTATACAATGGGTCGGTACTGGTCATGCTTGAGAAGTCTGGGTTTCTAAAAAAGACAAATTACAATAGGCCAGTACTGGTCATGCTTAAGGAATCTGTGTTTCTGAAAAGACAAAGTTGGCAAAGTAACTTTACCTAGAGTATGTATTTCTCCAGGACACAGCCTCTACTTTCTCATCATTGTATTAGGGTTTAGAAACAAGATAAAAAATGACTTTCCACTCTCGGTCTGTTCTTTCAACTCTAATTTCAATTGAGGCCATTTTATATCATTAAAAACATTTGCAGTCATATGCATCTCCTGCAAGCTTATGGATTTTTTTCATGTATCTACACGGCATTTTTTATAATGGTCTGATTAATTTTAATTCATTCACTTTCTCAGGAAAACATCTTTTTCCCTTCCAACATGCAGAACTCCTGTTAGCTACCATTAGGCCCACACCCTCCCAGCTGGGCTGCTAATTAGCTGTAAGCACATTTACCTCCAGATTTCTCTCTCTGATCTTGCAGTTTCCATCAGTGTCACATGATAGAAGAAAGGCTTCCATTTGTAGTAAGCCAACTGCATTTTCTCATCTAATGATCAAAATAGAAGATAAGGAAAAGAGAAAGCAGAGTCGCTCTAATAATGAGCAAAACACTGAATCCTGCAGGTTTTTACTCATCATGCTGCCTTCATTCCAGCTTTCCTCTGGAAGTGGGAACAGCATGGCACTTTTGGGGTTGGGTCATCACTATGACAGAGGCAATTTCAAAGGGAGTGTTTAGCAGGTGATGAAGTGTCCTGCTGCCTTTCTTTCAGCTCAACACCTGCCTCTCTTTGGCCCCATTTATGAGGTGCACACTAATCTGATTGCTCAGTAATTTAGAGGATGAATGAGGAATGTTTTCACCAGGTTAGCACTTCCTGTCCTGCTGCTAATTAATCTGTCCTGCTGCTCCCATGGCTTGGGAAGTCAGGTTAGCTAAGCAGCTCCCCCTTGCCTCCCTTTTTGGTCCTGGATTTCAGTTTTTGCACTGTGGATAGAGAAGTCGAAGAGGAATGGGCTCACAAGCTGGGAATCTTCACTCTGTTTAGCAACTTAGTGACTTGTTAGCAAGTAAACAGCAAAGGGATTAAGGAAATGGAAACATCACTATTTGTCAATCCCTATTGAAATGAGTGATTCTGGCAACAGCCATCCGTAGAGACTGAAAAAGCTCCCTTGAAGGGAAGGAACTGGATAATCCCAGGTGCCAAATGGTCGTGCCCAGGTCACCTGCCGCTGGGCAGGAGGGGAAAGAGCTTGGCACACGATATAGGCAGCCCTTCCCAACCCTTGTGTCCCCATGAGCTGGAAGCGGGGAGAAATGGTGAGGGGGTTTTCTTGGTCAAATGTATTCAGGCAACTTATTTCAATTAGGCAATTAATTAATTACCTCATTAACTTCTGCAGCTCTTCTGAGAGTCTTTAGTAAACTTATTTGACACCATAGGAGAAACTCACATTCGGAAGCATTTCTCAGACATCCTGGACCATGGAGCCCCACTGGAAGGAGCATCTTGTGAGGCTGAGGATCCGATCTGGCGGCTGACAGCTCCACGCTTTCTGTTGTTGAGCAATTATGAGAATTAAAGGAATAATAGCCACGAAAGACCTGGTACTACTTTATGGCGATGCCCATCTGCTGCCCTCTTTCTTTTGTTTGTTTCTTTTTTAAATCAAGGAGGAACTCCAAATGTACCCTTTAATGCTCAGATAAATGTACCCTTTATCTGTTCTCTTAGAGGGCAAAGGGCTGCGATGTTATCCTTATCGAGGTCTAATCTTGGAGATGGTCAGAAGCCTTGCCAGCTACCTCTAGGTCCTCAGATCTGCTTCTCTTGCACAATCTGTTTGTTCTGTGTGTGGTGAAAGCCAGACTGATGGAAACTACCTCAACAGAAACCGAATGTCGAATCCACTGATGAATAGATAATGAAAGATATTCATACAATGGAATTCAGCAATGAAGAGAAATGAAGAGTAGACATGTGCTACAACATGGAAGGATCTTGAAAACACTATGCTAAGTGAAGGAAGCCAGAGACAGAGGATCACAT